TAGTCCTCTGCGACATCAACTTCACATTTTGATTTATAGTCAAATTTCCTTTATTCCGCAACTTGTTACAATCCCTCTTGATATATATCATTTTTTCTAACAATAAAAACAAACTTAATTGCTGAATTTAAACTTCGACCTGCCCCTTCCATAAACAACAAGGCCTCCTCCATCTTTAACATCAGATCCAATCAAATACTTCATCTTCTCATTTGAAAACAAAGTATCTTACGCATCTTTAATGATAAAAGTATCAGGACTATACAAAATTGTGTCTCCAAACAATGTAAACGATACGGGCAACTAACACGATAAAATCAAGGCAAAATCTACTTCAACGTAGATTACCTCCAAGGTCTCCAAATTAGCTGCAACTTCTTTAAACACGATCAAGTTATCATGTGATGAGACTACAAATGCTACTTCAGGTGCAATTTGCTTGTTAGACTTTTAATTATATACAATTACTCCAACTTTAACCATAATGCAGTTGTGGACTTCTCCTTCAAAACGTCTTTAAAAATATTATTCGAAAGATGAAGATGAATTTGTGAAAGTACATTTCGATCCTCACGTTGTTTTTCGCTGCTCAAGCGTCTAGTTAGTGGTAGGCTAGTACCATCAATCCTTTTTTTCCTCCATGGATCCTATTTAGACGTCTTCAAACCCAATATACCAAACCATGCAAATCCTAGTTGAATTTGGGCTACAAACCTCAATAGTATCTAACTAAAACATGTACACAACCTTTACATACTGAAATAGTTCTGTTATCTAGAAGACAAAATCATACCCGACCCCACCCACATTGTATTTACAAGTGACCAAGTTTCTCTGTCACAAAGTTCGTTTCATATATAGTACTTCATAAGACTAAAACATATAACCTTTTTCCCTCTCTAATGGGTATCTAGTATTCCAAATTACTAAGCAGTTAATCCTAGTCCACTTTGTTTTCTTGCGCTACCTAATGAGCAAGCTCCAGAAAAATGAGCAACTCTCAACTTCCATATTTTGTACCCCATATCGAAAGTAACAAAAAAGAAGAAAAAAATTCTACTCTGCGGATTTTGGCTCTAAATCTAAGTTTCTTGTAGTGCCTTCACTGTTAAAAGAGGACAAAGGAAACTTGCATCTAGGATTCATCTTCTTTACTTCCCCGATCGAATAGATGCAAATTTTCTTGACTATCTTACAGAACTCCCTGCAACGAATAAGAAAAAGTTAAATAAGTTTGAATAGCTGATAGAATGTGGCTAAGAACAATTTTCAAGAGATTCGAACTACTCACGGCCATGGATCATCTCCCACGAGCATGACATCGCCTTCATTATCAGTGTAAACTATGCCCCATTTGTTTCTTGGGCGAAGCTCACCCTTTATCTCAAAAATTTTCTCCAGCTCACTGATGAGGTCATCATAACCCTCAAACGCACTCAAATCAACAGCACGTCCAATAGAAATCCCTTGCATTTGTACCTTAGGAAGAAAGAAAAGAATTATTCAAAAGCTAATTCGTAAACGCTCTTTTACTACTGTAGAAGAAAATTTCATCAAATAAAATGAACTCACCTTTGTACGAGTTCTTGTAGATGAAGCAGAGCTTAGCTTTCTTTGATTTTCATTGGGAAACACCTCAACTACATGTTTTCTTTCTTCGGAGGATATCAAAGTGTCCCGATTGTGAATCCTATCAACATCATTAGCACATTTTGAAGTGATGTTTGGAACTAGCACTTCCTTTTCAACCGGTGGAATATTATTTGCATTGTTCCTCAAATCAATGCCAAATAACCGACACGCGGAAGTAGTCTCAAACTTCTTACTTGAGTCCACTTGATCGAGAAAATGATCCTTACTTGTCCTTGCAGAGACAGGAGAGTTATAATTAGTAAGGATCGATCGTACAGATACATTTTTGTTGTATTCTGATTCTTGAAACAGGTTTGGAGAAGTATTCCCGACTGAAGTAGGTGGCCGCATCCCACTAGACAATGTACCAGTAGTAGTTCCTACATTACAGTTGACATATCAAGTTACATTCGTTCTGGTTCAGTCAAATAATGTCATAATATAATATTATATACCAGATGGATGCAAATCAAGAAGTCGAGGTCTTTTGTTCTTTGTAGCAGGTTGTGTAATGTCAACAGAAGCAGAAGCTACAAATGGCTCTATCTCCCATGATGAGACCCTCTCTGACCAATGCTCAGTTGCGGGTTCATCCCATTGTATCTAAAAGGAACAATAATTCGGAAAGGAAAAATTATTAAAATGAGACAATAAAAAGTTAACTTTTAAGACGTATAAGATAACCTTCAATGAGCGCCATTTAGAGTCTGTCCAATGAGTAGAGCTATCTCCAACACCAATTACTGTGCCAGTCGACCTGAAAAGACATCAATCGAATAAAAAATGGAACTACATAATTTTCAAAGCCGAAACACAAAGCAGGGAAGAAAATGAATAAAGAACCTTCTCTCTGGAGATTCTTCTTCTTTGAATCTCATCTTGAAACGCATGCCCACATAAAATTTATGTTTTATTGCCTCTAAATATGTGTTCAGCCCAATGATAAATTGGCTTGCCCTGTTACATCATATACCAGAAGAAGCCGAGCTGTAACTTTTAAAAGATTGAGTAACCATTTTCTTTTTTCTATAGGGGTTGCCTTACCTCGGCTTGTAGTACACCACAAATAGTGTTTTTGTGGTAATAGCATGAGACGCAGAAGCAAGCACTCCAAGATGCATACTTTCGCTGGAAATAACTGAAGTCGGAACGGGGCTTTGTTGTCTAGCTAGACGTCGAACCCCAACGCGCAATTCTCCGTTATCACCCCTGCAAAACGGTGGCCTTGTAGTTCAAATTAAAAACAGCAAAGTGCACGCTAATAGCCAAAAAAATAAAAACAAAACCAGAAATTACCTCAAGAAAACAAAAGCATCACCTGCAACTAATCTCTTAGAGGAGACAAATGTGCTCCAGCCTGTCGTCAGTAAGTGTCTTCTTGGTTGACCTGATTAAATCATGAGATGTTAAACTCTAGCTTCTATTTCCAATTAGCCAAAAGAATACAGAAGTAGTAGATTCGACAATACGGCGTAAAATATCAGAATCATTACCTCTGAAAATATGCTTAAATCGCCACTCATAACCATGAAGATCCTTTGCAACCAAATCCTGGCTCGGGATCGCTTGAGTCATATCCTTAAGGATTAATAATAGCATCTCAAACATCAGAACATGTCACACAGTAAGCTTTGAACAGTATGTGAAAACCACTAACTATTGAATACAACAGACAACAAACGAAGTCTTATTCCCTACAGATTTTGGGATCGACTACACAGCATACTTCTTCACCATGCTGCACTGTTCATTGCTACTCATACAGTAAGCTTTAGTATAAAAACGACTGCTGAATATAAAACAGACAACAAACAACAAACTAAGAGTGGGGTTCAGCTACACGAATACTTCTTCACCATTCTGCCATGTTTATTTACTAGCTCTTTTGGGAGATTTAAAGCAACTAGGTCCCTTGTAACTACAATAGGTCATGATGATTTTGGTCAAATCCTTCTAACTCATTATACTGAAATCGCCTCTTTAGCTTTGTACTCCATGAGGGCATGTTTGGCGCCATTAATCTCTATCCCACCAACTTATCTGTCATAACTGATTTGAGAGAACCTCGATATCTTCTCTTTGGTAAGTAAATTATGCGGATTGATATAAAAGAATCGAGCAATGTGTCATCATAATTATTTGGACAGTACTCTTCTTTCTTATGCACACTTATGCAATAACAAAAGATTGAAAACAAATTACTAACCAAGGGAGGGAGACATTCATTGGCATGTCTTCGAAGAATAGAGAACCCTCCATGTGTGCTCCTGTCAGATGCTGTCAAAACCTTACAAAAAGAGCGAACATTTTGCTTTGGTGGATCAGGCGGACATGGATCGGGACTAGTGGGCTCGGTTTGCTACAAGAATGAAAATACTAGATTCACAGCTCGAGAAAAGCAATACAATCAAAACATAAAGATATGCTACATTTTTCAAAAGAAGGAGCCAACATAAATACAAGGGTGAAGATTTCATTGCTAATTGCTTACATCTGGTTCAGGGTGTAATGTAATCTGGGCGTAAACTTCATCCGTTTCAGGTTCCGCCTACCAATTATTAAGGCCAACAAAATAAAAAAGAGCAAACAAAAAAAAAGGGATTTGGAAAAAGGGGAAATGAAACCAACCCGTAATTGAATATTAAAAACGCGACAAAGGATCTTTGAGGGAAGATTGAACCTCGGAATTTGTTTGTTCAACTCCTGATTAGTAGATGCCTCTAACTGTCCATAGAAAATTGCTTTTATCAATCTGCAATTCTAATTAATGAAATGTTCTCTAATAAGGATAAACATAAGCGTACTTGTTCTAAGTGACCCTGAGGAAAATAGTAAACTCTTTCTCCACTACAAGGAACATCCACCATAGGTCCTGCACAAGCCTTCCATAGCGCCGTATACAGATCATTGCTATCTACACCGATCAAAGACAAATGGACCCGAGGAAATATAAGAATATGGTTGACACTCAAAAACGAAGCGAAAATAGTTGAATAATCAGACAATTCAATAGAACACCGCCAAAGTAAGAATTCATTGAAAATTTTGCTTCTTCAACTGCAGATTTCTCTAATTAAGAATTTTGCAAGTTGATACCTTTCATGATCACAGACACAGAATTGAGAAAATTTCATCAAGTCACAGCACAGAAAGACTAGCTCATTGAAAATAAAATTATTCCAAAAGCATGGTTAACTAGAAAAACACTTAAAAACTTTGAACTTCGAAGATCAACATCATTACAATGTTTATTCTAGTATTCTAACAGATATTAACCTTAAAAATCTCAAAACCCACGAAAAATAAATGTTCTTTTACCTGCATTTTGAGAGTTTGCCATTATTTGAAACTGCCGAAGCTCACAAAAGATGGGGAAAGCAAAAAAGTTGAGAGTTGAAGAAGAATGAAGCTTTGGAATAACCTGCCCAATTTAACATCATATCATCGATAATCCATACAAAGCCCACTCTTTATTTTCCATTTTCAATAACAAACAAAAAAATATTAATTATCCCTTTCAATGCTCTCTCTTTCTCTCTCTCTCTCTATGTAAATGTGTATGTGTAGGTGAGGAGATGTAACAGCCTTCCGAGGATGTATTAACTAGTGTGTAATGGATGAAGAGGNCTCTATGTAAATGTGTATGTGTAGGTGAGGAGATGTAACAGCCTTCCGAGGATGTATTAACTAGTGTGTAATGGATGAAGAGGCCGCCCTTTCACCCTATTTTTCTCCCACTTTTCAGTTACAAAACCGCCCTTTGCTTTTATATACACATACAATAGATACATATTTGTCTGTATATGTATTGGATGTACAATTATATACACATACACACTCAACACCTGAATCAGACGTTACAGAATCCTTGAAAACCCACTTTCTTTCTCTCTTTGCTTATACATGAATTACACGCGCGTGTCTCTCTCTCTTCTTTGCTGCCACATGTTTTTAATACTATTTCTTTGTGTAATCAAAACCAGGAAAGCCTCTTTCTTTGCTCTTACAAAATAAAAATATGGACCACGCTTCGGGTACATGGGCGTTTACACGCTCGTGTACACGGGCCCACCCGCCTCCGCACATGGGGGTCGAGGCCCACGTTGAGCTCCGATGTGGGATCTCGTCCCATGTGAAGAGCGTGGTGGGATTGTGTACACGGGCGTTTGTGTACCAATGGCTTTTTCCTAAAAGTATATACTTTGTTGGATGGTTCTGCTGCTACAGGTACACGTAGTGGAGTAGTCTATTCGAATCAGGATCATTTAGATCATTCCACTGAAATGTTTCAATTTTTCTTTTTGTTATTATTATTATTATTATTATTATTATTGCAAAAAAAATAAAATTGTGAAACAATGTTGACAACGTTTGAAAGGATTTATGATTCAAGTATAGTTCAAAAGCCTAAAGATTGTGCGAAGTTAAGATTTTTCTTTTGACCCCTTATATATAATTCTATAGTTTTACATTTGAAATTTACTATTTATAATTTCGCGAGAAGGTAATCCTTATAAAACACTATACTTCAACAGCGTGTAACTTGTGACTTACTAATTTTTAGTAACTTTAAGCCATACAATTTGCGTGGAATTGGAACCCCGATCGACTCGTATTTATCATTACATTTTTTAATTACAATTTATATGAGCCTATTTTTAAAGACAATAACATAGACGCACTTCTGATACATTTCTTACTTTTCACAATAGATTTTCTTAGGTTCAACTCAATCTTCTTTCAAAGGGAAGAACGATGGTCAAAATTATACAAAAATGAAATATCAACTTAAATAATTAGGTTTTGAATAAAAAGTTTATTTTGTATCAATTTCGACCTTTATTTATAATTAAGTTTGAAAAACAAAACAAAATAAAATATTATATTGATTGATTGATGATATATTGTTGGACGCACTATGTACATGGTTTGTTGATTAAAAATAACTAAAACGTGGGAAAAATAGTTTTTTTATTGAAAAGTCAAAATCCTCTTCGTGCATTTAACTTTATCACTAGAAATTTATTGTCGATTGATCATTTGACAAGACTAAAAATAGTTAATACTATATTTCTGTATTTTTATTCTTAAAAATGTCAATCGCCGAAAGACTAACAATGATGATACTGCATGCATTAGTTCAAGTAACGTTTAATATTGAAATCAACAGAAGTGGACACGATTTTTTTTTTGCATACCCTCTTATTCAAAATTGATAAAGTCAAATATGTCGTTATATTCGTGATCTAGATGAGAGAATCGAATTGCGTGTCAACATTCCATTAGTCCCTCTAGTCCAATGCTTGGACATTCTTTGCCGGGTTTTGATACTCTAACAGAGACCGTGACAGACCCCCGTTGGTGCCCCCTATTGTCACCATAGCAAAATTCTTCTTTGCCTGGCCATTGAAGGAACAACATTTTATATGTTCTTCTCTCCATATAAATTTTCTTAATTTAACCATGCTAGTTGTATAAAAAAAATTCTTATACTTTATTTGACAGATATATCACGTTACAGCATCTTGTCATTTACCCGTTTAAAAGATGAAACAATTTTTGCACCGATCACATACTACCAACAGTGAACTATCAACAGGGTAGGTAGCTTTTTTTTCATACAAATGGCAAAGCTCTTCTTAGTTCTCACAAACATTTACTAAAAATGATGAAACAAAAAAGGGAATTCAAAGAACAATAATAATGTTTGGATTATTTAATATCAATGTGATCATAGTTATGTACAATGTTACTTGTCGAATTAAGAAAAGACCATAATAAACAACAATAATTGCTAGTAATTGTTATTTAAGAAAAATAAATAAGTGTACAAAAGTTTTAAATAAATAATCGAAGTATTTACTTTGGGTTGGGTATGATTACGACTAGTGCTTTTTGCACAAATTATTATTTTTTTACTATAAAAGTTAAATGGGTGTACGGATGAGAATAATGACACAGCACTAATAAACAAATGCTTAGTGCAAATCGCAATTAACTTATGTTGGACAAGGAAACAAACCCTTATACGTCTCTCCATTATTATATTGTGGCCCATTTTCTTGAAATATTCACATCAAACAGATAAACAATGATGTTTTCGAGATGTCCCTTCTTAGTAATGAAACGCAAAATGTGAAAGTATACCTTTATTGAAAAAGGTCGACTCAATTTTGTACTCTCTTAACAAAATTGTCACAACGTATGGTTAGAAATGAGTAGGGCAAAATTTTCTAGCTTAACGAAGACTATTTTTCATTTCTCTAACTACTTTGATCCTTCATAAGAAATTTCTCCTTGTTGCATTGGTTAATGATTGATTAATTTTCTAATTAGAATAATACAATATATAGAGTATAATACTTTCTTAAGCCCTTGTGAAAGAATAACTAAAAGAGAGAGAGAGAGAGAGGTAACAAAGAGAAGAATTTATACCAACTTTGCATATTGTAAAAATTAAGCAATCAACTTGAGTTCTTTTTAAATGGTATCAACTACCATAATCACTTACTAATTTCTATGATAAGATACTTAAACAATATGATCCCTACTTGCTTCCATTCTTTTCTTTCAAGAGTTGCTTGAGATTAATTCGACACAAGTTAACGTATAAATATCGAATATTATACAGTTTCAACAAGAGTAGATACGAATATTTCTATGATAACATATATATTACAAACTTCATCTTAAAAAATAAAATAAAATAAAAACATATCGTTAAATATGATAGATGTCAAACACTAGAGATTTTGGTTTCACGCGTTCATTATCCTAAATAGGACTTTTACATGAATTCTATAGTCAACAAGATATAACATATTAAAATTGGCTCTGGCATCTTCTTAAAAGATTAAATTATCGAACTAGGTCAAAGAGAAATGAAAATTAATGTTGAAATAATTGTTAACCTAACAAATGAGATGCTCTATCTTTTGATTTATAGATTCCATTTGGACTAACAACATTTCACAACACCAATTTCTTAATACTTATATATTAAGGTTAGGAGCATTTGGTGAGTGTGGAAAGGGAATTGCCCCATTTGGGTCCCTTTTCTTGATCTGATTAAGTATTCTTTTTTGATTGTGATTCTCCAATACGACCTTTTTTTTAATTAATCTAAAGCCAATCTAATTGTGTTTGATCTATGTTTTGACCCTCACAATGAATTTGAGCGACGTTGAAATTTATAATATTTGTTTTTTTTTTTTTTTTGCCTCGTATGTGGGGACCACAAACATGAATCAGCACTTATAGATGTGATATAAAACAAAATTATACATTGAATATATTTCTCTATCAATAATTATCATAAAGATTGAATGAGTGTAAAGAACTTTTTCGAACCATACATCTCATCTAGAGTAACTTTTTTTTTTCTTTTCATTGAACTCGCCTAGTACATCCACATTAATCATAATCAATCTTCGAGTTTTAATCTCCTACAAATAGATCAATCAAAGAATATCGCTAAATTTGCCTCTCCCAACTCGTAATCTAGAGGTCATAGAAGAGTCAAATTGACAAGAGTAGTATTTCTAAAAATGAATTCAGTTTTAATTACCCAGGTGCCATCCATGTAGGCGTATGTATTGGCATTAACCTTTGATTTTAATCACTGTCACTGTTCAATTTGCTATGCAACATGTTTTCACGTACCTAATCTTCATTTCATGTAAATTTCTAAGAATCGAAAGTACTCCTCCTCCATTTCATAAAGATAAAATTGATTCCATTTTCACTAGATTAAGAAAATATAATTAATATAAGGGTAATTAACATAAAACGTCCCTACATTTTGAGGTTTTTGTGGAAAACGTTCCTACATTTTATTTTTTAGCAGATTTCACTTTTACTTTTATCTTTTTTGTGCAAAACGCCCCTCCCTCAACTCCCCGTTAAAATGCTCTGTTAAATCAAATAAAATGGATCCATTTTTTTCAAAATGCTGGGGCAGATTGACGTCCAAGCCAATTTGTTCTTCATTGTGGGTTCACTCCTGCACTCTTCTTCAAATTTTCATAGCTAAAATAATAAAGTAATATGAAAAAATTATTTGTACAAAATTATTTCATTCAATAAATAAGGGAAAAGAGTGGGGCTGAAAACCATATGTAAGGAGAATTGTCCATGGTTGTTATATCAAGTCCAAGGAAAAGAATGAGGCTAATAATTACATGTAGGAAATGTGGTGAACGAGGACACTATAATAGGGCTGTGGAGAGGCAAAACCACTAGTACCAAATTAGTATGATTTTGCCAGATGCTTTAGTTTATGTAAGAAAAAAATCTTTTTGGTTCAATGAATTACTGCATATGAATTGTATATGGTTTTGTTTCGTTCACTACAATAGTAATAGTTGTAGAATGCTGAATTTTATATTTATTTTTTATTTTTTATTTTTATATTTTTGAACAACTGGATAGAAAGAGACATTTTCTGATTATGTGGCCTTTTCTTTTCTCAAAAGTGGAATTGCTGAGATAACCTTTCATGTAGACATCTTGTTTGTCGATTTTTTGCTGCATTTTGGTGGTTGTTGCTGAGTCTAGTTATCGAATTTGGTTGTTGAGTACTAGTTTTGCTTAGTTTGGTTATTGAGCTCGATTGTTGACTACTGGTTTTGTTGAGTAGGTACGGTCTACACTATTTTTAATAAAGGTAGGGATGTTTTGCGCAAAGACAATATAAATGTAGGGATTTTTTCGCAAAGACAATATAAAGATAAGGATTGTTACCACCGATTCAATTTTATGCTAAAATGGGAAGAATACATGTTTATCTTTCATCATCTTCTCCATCATATGTATTATCCATTCGCAGAATCACATTTTAATTGGTCTTCTCATTTACCCTTCGTAAGCACAAAATACACCCTTCGTAAGCACAAAATGGGGATGGACATCTCAAGTTTATTAACTACATATTCATTCTTTGCCTATACCATTTCAAAATTTTTTAAACAATCAAGCATTATAGTAGTCATGATTTCTTTCAACCAAAAATACAGTCCTTTACGTCATTTTTCTTTATTTATTGAATGAAATAATTTTGTACAAATTTTTTCATATTATTTTACTTTTTTAGTTACGAACGTTTGAAAAAGAATGCGGGAGTGAAGCCACAATGAAGAACAAATCAGCTTGACAATCTTATCTCTATATTTTGAAAAGAAAATATCTATTTTATTTGATTTAACGGAGCATTTTAATGAGGAGTTGATGGAAGGACATTTTACGTAAAAAAAAAAAAAAAAGAAGGTAAAAGTGAGGGTGAAATCTGCCAAAAAATGAAAGATATGGACGTTTTTCACAAAAATCTCAAAAGGTAGGAACGTTTTATGCTAATTACTCTTAATATAAAAATAAATTTTATTTACATTTTTCCTAACATGCACTTATATTTAATAATGGTTTAAATAAAAATAATTCATATTTGTTAATAACAAAGCGCATTAAATAAATACATTTTAAAAAATTGAAAAATTAACTATACTTTCAAAAAGAAAAGTGATCCATAATTTGGGACAAACTAAAAAAAATAAAAAAGACAAGCATATCTTTATGGAACAGAAAGAGTACAAGAAAAATGTGAAGGAAGTACCAAGTGCAGAAAAAAATGAACGTTCATGCAAAAACTATGTTAAAGACTATTAGGTCATATGTTTATTTCTTATTAAATCAAAGGGTAATTAGCATAAAACGTCCTTATCTTTCAATGTTATTATACAAAACGTTCATAGATTTTATTTTTTGACATTTTCACCTCTATTTTTACATTTTATTGCGGATGATGTCCTTTTCTCAATAAAATAAAATATAAAATGGTCAATATGCCCTTCTATTTAAATAAAAAAAAAGAAAAATTTAAGAAAAAATTGCAATTATAATCCAAAACTTTTTAAAAAAAGTACAAATAGTCCAAATAAATTATTATAAGAGTAATTAGCACAAAACATTCATATATTTCAATATTATTGTGCAAAATGTTTATACCATTCAAATTTTTGACATTTTCACCCTTATTTTTACATTTCATTGCGAAAATCACCATTTTCTTCCATTTTCTCAATTAAAAGTTGCAAAATGACAAATATACTGCATATTTAAATAAAAGAAATATAAAGAACAAATTACAACTATACTCCCAAAATTTTCAAAAAAGTACAAATAAACTTCAAATAAATAAATAAATATCACATTCTTTTTTTAATTATTTATTTGAAATTTATTTGTACTTTCTTTGAAAATTTCGGGAGTTCATATGCAATTTGTTCTTTATTTGTTTTATTTAAAGGAGAGGGTATATTTGTCAAACATCTTTTAATTGAGAAAATGATTGAAAATGATAATCTTCGAAATGAAATGTGAAAATAAGAGTGAACATATCAAAAAATGAAAAAGAAGGATATTTTGTACAATAATATTGAAAGGTATTGACGTTTTGTTCTAATTACCCTTTTAATAATTTATTTAGACTCATTTGTAATTTTTTAAAAATTGGAAGTATAATTTCAATTTGTTCTTTAATTTATTTTTATTTTTTTCCTTTTTGTCTTATTTAAATAGAAAAAAATATTGGTCATTTTACTTTTTTTTTTATTGAGAAGAAAACATTTTCTGTAATGAAATGTGAAAATAGAAGTAAAAATGCTATGAAAGGTAGAGAAGTTTTATACAATAACATTGAAAGATATGAGTATTTTGTACTAATTACCCTTAAATCAAAATATTCATTAATCACAGTAATATAAATTAACTATAGTTAGACTAAATGAAAATGCATAAAATGGATGAATTCACACGAATGTAATGAACTTGAATGTAGATTTGATACCTCTACCCCTTGCCAAAAATGAAATTGCTAAGAAATTATGGGTAGATAAAAGCTTATGTTTATATACACTCAAGTCACTTGTTATCAACATATGTCAAGGAACATACAAGTAATGTCACTTATCTATAACTTATTTCTATCTATTTATGATTAAAATCGATTACAAACATCTCCTAAACATGAACCATCCATACCATTTTCCATAACATTAAGTATAGTGCAAAACACCTTTTCGCAGCATATAGTTGAGTAGATTATTCAAGGAATTTTGGTCCTTGGTTCGTACAATTTGACCACTTATATCCCCTATTAGTATTGGCACACGTCTGAGAATCATTCAATAGCATAAGAACCTTCATAGTAAACCAAACAGCAACGAAAAAGAGTTATGTAGTCGATGCCAAATTTTATATGAACTGCAGAAAATGGATGTAGAAAGAAATAACAGCTGAAAGCAAGAGATACAGCAAGATTAACCTTCATAACAACTCATATCAGCCCAAATATATAGTTTCAACATACAGTTGACATCTTAATCCCTCAAAAACACAGTTTCTATGTGCCATATTGACTTCACAACAAAATTATCTAAATGCTAAATCTGGAAACATAATAAAGGAATTAGCATGAATAAAGGAGCCGATATAACTTCAATATTCAAGCAAACTCAACAGACAAGAGTCCCCAAACTGATTTAACAGAATATGTGATAAAGGAGCCGATATAACTTCAATATTCAAGCAAACTCAACAGACAAGAGTCCCCAAACTGATTTAACAGAATATGTGATGATGGTCGGCCGTATCCAGGCAGGTGAAAGGGGTACCTAACATGATCATACGAGAAGCCAACTCCAAAAGACCAAAATGGTACAAATGGATGATAACTTACTTTCCCAATTGATTCAACTTGAGAATCCTACATGATCATGAATAAGTGCTTCAATGACAAGAAACTGAAACCACAACCATGCTTCAATCATCATTATAATTGTTCCTGAAAGAGAGACCAAGTACCGTAGTTAAGATATCCAGGGATTCATGAAAATTCACTAAAGCTAAGAGGACATATTTCAGGACTTCAGAAAATGAAGAACAAACTGCAAAACGGAAATGAAAGAAATATTAAATCTGAAGTATCAATGTGCAGTTATAACTGAAATCTAACATAATAAGTAAAGAGCAGCATCAAAGTTCACTCTCAGTTATTGAAGAATATAACAGGATGCAGGAGGCAGATTGCTAGAGTAGAAGCCACAATGGCTTGCATTTTCTAGTCTTTTTCAAAATGAGAAAAAAAGAATAGAGAACTTTTATGCAAGTAAAAGTTTGAATATCTTAAAATGTATAAATGTAGCCGCTTTCTGTTTTTCCAAGACAAACCACGATAAATATGCATGCAACCGAAGAGTGAAATTATCAGCGACATAGATAGGATCAAAACAAAAAATTTCTAGCAGCTGCTTATAAAATTTTTGAATGTGAAATCACAATAGTCCTATTATTAGAAGTAAATAGAACTAAAATATATTTCCTCATCTTTTATTTACCCTGTCGACGTTGCAGTTGAATTCTATTTGAGAGACAAGTTAAGCTGTCTGACATTCCAAAGCATTCTTTAGGTCAGTAAACCAACATATTATAATAACAAACACCCTTTTTGATATTGACAAGAAAGAGCATAAATGCTAATCACATTCAAACAAAAAATGAAAATAAAAAATTTAGCGAATCCGTCAAGTTTTACAAATCATATTTTACCCGAACTGTCATACTACATACTTCAACCAACTTTATTGCATTTATAATGTGTGTACAGAACAGTGGGATGTAGATAAAAATCTATCTGCCAGACTGCCTTTTATTCTTCCAACTCAGTAAGTGAAATTTTACCATTGTTTCCATCATTGATGTACAGGGCTACTGAACATGACATTTGAAGGTTTAGAACACTGAAGCAAAATATTTCGTTTGTCCCTGAAGATGATATTTTTAATTACAGTAGTAATGGCAAAGAATATAGTGTCAATTGATAAAGAACTAAGTTTTATTTCAGTGGCTATTAGGGTAGTAATTTCTTTTACACATTAGTTCTGTTCCCGGTGAACAAGTAAATTGGAGAATCTAGCTATTATTGAAAGATAATGTTTCGCATTACCCATGGCTAGTTTTGGCATAAATATTAAAGTGTGCAATCCATTATGACAACCAAAGTAAAGAAATGATGATGAACAAAATTAAAGAGGAGTTCTATCAAATATGAACTACTAGTTTCTTATACGATTGTCAGCTGAAATCTAAAGTAGTCGGTGCCTGTGGCAATTATCATCGCACAGTCAGTGCCTGTGGTAACTATCACAGCATGTAACTTCAAAAATACATAACAACGTGATATGACATCCTTTTATCTTCTAATTTGAGTAATTTTTCTTTAAACCATCGTTTTTAAGGATAAAAATGTTAACCTTTAACCAATAAGGAACGTGATCATTTATTGGCCATGTGGTACATATTTCTAACCAGAATGCTTGACTTCTTAGCAACAAAACCGAGCACACATTAGTCCATCATGGATCTATGATAATCAGATTGGTGTTTGCATCTTTAAAGTGCAGCTGAGGCAAAATTGAACTGACAAGGTGCAGGAATCAAATAATAAAGAAAATCTACAAGCTGTAGGTCCAAATACTCGTAGCTCAAAGATGAAAAGAGTGGTGATAAAACGTCATAGCTATCCAAATATAATCTGTTAACTTTTCCCGATTTAGTGTACAGTCAATTGATTCCATAAACAATATTCTTAATCACCCAAAATGTAAAGAAACAGTTATAAAATATGATAATACTGCATAGACAAACAATGAATGCACAGAAGCAACAGATGAAACAGCAAACTTACTGTGAAATGGCTAGTTTGTTAAACTATGGTAAGATTGTAAGAGCTGCAAAGTTGAAGTAATGCAGCTTGATTTGCTGGCTCAAGATTTTCATTAATGATCCGCGGGTATGTTCCAGGTGAACGAGCAGAAAGATTTGCCAAGGATGCAACCAAAAATTGCTTTGGATCATTGATATCTGGCAGAGGATCCTCTTCTCTCCTCCCAGTGTTGTACAGGTTAACAAAAGTGGTATTGTAACCCACAGTCTCACCAAAATCCGGTACATCAGGCTCCTCTTCCACTCTTTCCTGCTCTGGGCGTGACAGAAGAGTAACAATGCTGTCCAGCATTTTCCCCCAAAGCTTGGAATCTGATGGCGTCAGAGACTCACATATAAGTCTGGTAGAAGCAACTGAAGTTAATTTAAGCTCAAGTGAACCCGTGATCAGCTTGAGATTAGGTATCCAAAATTGCTCTAAAATTGCACGAAAAACATCAGGCTGCACAGCATTCATCGAGCCTACGAGGTTTTGAGAACCATGCCTGACCAGAAAAAGTGACATATATATCACAAGAGATTTGACATACTTCACTGTTCTGTTATGTTGGAGCCGATTAAATAGAGCAACCCAAATGTGGCTAATGTAGGGTGAGATGACATCATGACCAAGGTTGTCAATCACAGTGTTTAGCACATAAAATCCTTGTTCATCAGAACTAGGAGATGAAACTAATGTGTTGAATATCCCAAGGACACTAGACAATCTCCCTTGCTGGTTCAGCTCATGTGGTGCCTTTCTAAGGAAAGCCTGGAGCAAACGCACAAGAGCAGGGACATTTGCAGACTTTTTCCATGATTCAGGTAAAAGGAGTATAGCAAAGATCTCCATATAATTCCCGGGTAAAGGAGGCCGATTCAAGTCAACAAGCTGAGCTAGCAGCTGGAATGCATAAGGGAAGAATTCTGTCACATCTCTGGATAAGATCATCTGCAGGCTGGGGAGAAGACTTGTTTCAAATGCTGATATGAGAGATGGATCCTGCTCACAAGCCCTTCTGACGAGAAGTGCCACTGATTCAAACAGATAGTGGTTAAAAATAGGATTCTTTGGGTTTTCACATACTCTATTCAGAACAGTTGTCAGGCTGTTGATACAAGGCAAAGCAACATCATGTGAAACATTAGCAACCCCAAGAACTCTCATTATACACTTCATCACATACGGATTCTCTTCAGATTCTGGCTTCTGTAAAGCATTAAAAAGGTTTGTCATCAAGACAAGCAAAAATGGACTAATATCTGTTGCTGAGTATCTCGCCCTTCCGCTTCCATCTTTGACCTGCAAAAGTTTCTCAATGCAGCTGGAAGCATAAGAATGAACCACATTTGACTCTGAGCCAAGGAAGCGAACAACGTCAGGTAGCAAAGCAATTGCAATAGGTTTGGAGATCTGATTCCTAAACATGGTGAAGAACTTCAACGCACCAGCCTTCAACATTGGAAACCCATCCACATCCTGACTTTGCAGCTCTGGCACAATAACAGACCCAAAAAAGCTCTCAACATTAACAAGATCAGTGGAAACAGAATTTCCTCCTGCCTTCTTTGTGGCAAGGGAGACAACCAAATAGATAGCACAGTCCTTGTGTTTCCAATTTGCAGCTGGGTTCTCAGAAAATGAAGCCAAAAGCAACTGTATCTGAGCTGCTACCTTCTCTGTTACTTTCTTCTTGTAATTCATGGCAATCCCCTTAAGGAGTTCACAAGCAATTCTCCTTCTCGTGTCAAGGTCGCTCCCTTCCATATCCCTTCTTATGAACTCTACATAATTCATTTCGAACAACTCCTCGTCCTCATCCCTTAGCATCACATTCGGAATCACGATACTCTGACTGATCTGCTGCAAAATGTCATCCCTTGCAAACAAAGTATGGTGAACGCTAGCACTAACAATGGTCAAAAACTTAATGGCTGTTATAGTTAGCCGTTCACGACTAGAAGAAGCAGATGCAACCACCAAAAGCCCCCACACTGCCTCCACAAAACCACTCAAATATTTTTGAAACAAATCCTCCTCTTTCTCCATATAGAGACTAATATTCTCACACACAGCAGCTCGTAACTCATCAACCAACGCAAGCCCTTCATTTCCACTATCCTCGAGAGCAGGGTACTTTACAGTCAAATATTTCTTGAACTCAATCATCCACTCTTCCATATGGTCCTCAAAAAACTCAGGCAACTCCATAAAATTCAGCGAATAAAAAATCCTGCAACATAACCGCTGGGACTCTATGTATGGCTTGAGGGAAATTGCATTTGCGGTACCAGAAGAATTTACCTGATCCAGCAAACTTGCAGTACGTTTAAATACTTCTAACAACGGTTTCGCTAAGTTATCAAGACAGTACTTCAAATCAAGCAATAACTCATTGGTCTTAAACTGGTACCTGAATTTCTTAAACAATGAATTAATGGTGGTCAAAACCCCACTTACAGAAACATAATCATTGGCCTGGCTTAACCCATCAAGAGTCCGGACAAGCTCCGGTAATAACGTGGGCCATGCTTTGGGGAAATCATGTTTCCCAATTATGGTCAGGGCTTCACTGAGCTGTGCTTGGATTTTGGGAGACGAATTCACCATTAGAGTCACAATTAACGATTTGATTTGCTCCTTTTCCGGGGCAGGTATAGTGTGTGTTTGAGCCAGGGACGAATCGTTGGTCTGCAGCTCCCAGTGGACCTTGAGGGTGTTCTTGAAGTTGACTGCAGCAGACTGACGGATCTGCTCGTCGATGGAGGGTTCAGCAACAAGGCGTAGCACGGCAAGGCCGTAATTAGGCTTTTCAGCGGCCTCTGTCAGTGCCGCCTCCGCACGGCGGCGGGGCTCAGGGAGTGGGGAGAGGGTGTTGAGGAAACATTGTGAGAGCAATTGTAGGGTCTCAGGGTTCCACTCCATCTCTATCTCACCCTCGCTGCGTGTTTTCGATTTTAGGTTTAGGGGTTTTAGTGAAATATTGAAGGTGTATTCAAATCAAATTACAGCTACAGACTTGATTGTGAAGAAATTACATGAAAAATGTATGTAATTGCAAGTAAATGGAGAGAGAGATCGACAGAAAGTGGAGATTACCAGAGAGAGAGAGAGAGAGATTTGCTCACACTAAAAATTTGAACAGGACAGTGAAATGGAGGGACGAAGAGAGAGTGCTTTCCTAGCGAAATGCTGTATAGATTATGGGCCTAAAAATTGGATTGAAAAATGGATTGGGCTTCAAAATTAGCCCATTGTGTCATTGCATCAAAACATGTTTTGTTAGCTAAAAAATTGAAAAATTAAGTCAAATTCAAAAATTAATTTTAATAATATTTTCAATATAAAAATGTTGTCACCGTTCTACCTGGGAAATGCATGGAAATGACCTAATCAAAGAGGCCATTTTTTCCATCCTTTGACCAATTTATCAAATTAAAATACCTAAAATACCCCTCCTTTTGAATATTGCATAACAAGTCACTATAATATAGAAATTTTCCATTTTAATCCTTAAAATTAAATATTACTTGAATTTTGATAGATTTATTGTTTGCAGATTTATTTGATTCACTGATTTTTGTTCGCTCAAAGTAAAACCCCCGTTAATTGGTATCAGAGCCATAGAGATCGTGAAAATTAAAATAAGAAAAATAAATAATTATTGACATTTAGAAGAAGAAAGAGGAAGTTATATATTTTTAAAACATATTCATAATAAATTAAAAATAATGACATTAACAATAATTAAAGAACTACCCAAAGAAATAAAAGAACAAATATTATAAAAACTAATAATAGGATCAATAAAGGATAAATATATATATAAAAAATTGTAAAAGTATATGAAGATGAAGAAATTAATTTATAAAGAGAAATATGAGTACAAGTAATAATACAAATTTGAAATTGAATAAATTATTTATAAAAAGAAAAAAATACAAGAAAAAACATAAGATATAATGTTAATACCAGAAAGAATAAGAGTATCAAATAAAAGACAATTAATAAAATTAAAATGTGAAAGATTAAGACTTGAGAGTTAATATTTTAATATAGTAAAAGAAAATTTAGTAAATACGGATATAGCCAATAGAAGATTTGGAATAATAATAAATAAAAAAGAAGATAAAAGATACAAATTAACTTATATGTTAAAAAGATGATTAGAAAGATTTAATATGTCAATAAGTGAATATATTGAAGAATTAAAGTCATTAATAAAAATGTTAATAAATGATGTACAAGATTTAAGAAATGAAGTAAAAGAAACAATAAATGATAAAAATATATTAAAAATTGAAATTAGAAAAATAAAAGAAAATAATAAAAATAAAGAAAAGAAAATAGATAAAAAATTAATAAAAAAAGAAATGACCCAATAGGAAAGAAACATATTGAGAAAGCGAATTAAGTAATAGAAACAGAAAGTATGAATGATGAATTTTGAAAGAATATATTACCTAAAATATTAGAAGGATTTAGAGAAAAAATATTAAGAAAATTAAAAGTAGAAGAAAAAGAAGATAAAGATGAATGAAGAATTAGATTTATTAATAGAAAATTTTGATCAATTGAGTTTAGATGATATAAGTGAATGCCAAGTTTTAATGAATACTAGAGAACGTCCTAATCTAATAGGAACCTTTAAACAAGAATTACCAGAATTAGATGAAAGTTATACACCTATATATAATAAATCATATAAGTAATTTTATGATAAAGTAAGAGATAGACAACCACCTAAATGAAATAAATATAAATATATGTTTGAATTAAATGATAATTATGATAAACCAATTAATCATGGAGGAACAAAATTAGATTTAAATTATAAAATAGATACTAAAAAAGCCTTATTAACTTGGACAAATTCAATGAAATTATTCTTTTTACATAATAAAGATGACACATGGAAAAGTATTAAAAAAGAATAGATTTTTTAATAGCATCATTTGAAGGAAATGTTAGAAATTGGTGGGAAGGAATAAGTAATGATACAAAAATATTAATAAAAAGAAGTGTACAAACAGAGATAATAAAATCAAATAGACAAGGTATAAAAAAGTTAGTAGAATATATTTCAAATGAATTTTTAGGAGAAAATTAGATAAAAAAAAATGCTGAAAGAGAAGCAATAAGAGAAAAAGATAATGCTAGAATTAAATTAATAAATTTAACAATATGTGATATGTGTAAAATTAAAGAATATACTTGTGAATTTAGAAATTATTATTATGTTCAATTCTACAGTAATGAAAATCAAGAAGTATACCAAAACGTGTACTATAATAAGTTACCAGATTTGTGGAAAATATATTTTAAAATAGAATTTGAAAAATATATTAGAGATGATGTTGGAATACCTAAAACTTTAGGTTCAAAAATAAATTTTTTATTCAAAAGACTTACATATATATGTCAATAAACAATTATTGAAAAAATCAGGAAAACTAACTATAATATATTGTGAAGATATAGAAGCCCCTGTACAATGGGGATATAATCCTAAAAAAATAATTAATAAAATGAAATATAAAAATATAAAGTTTAAAAAATTTAGAAATTTTAATAAAAATTACATAAAATCTAGAATAAGATATTATAAAAGAAAAAATAACTCATATGATCAACAGAAGAATAAAAATTATAAGAAAAATAAAAGTCAATGTAAATATTGGAATTGCGGGAAAATAGGTCATATGTTTCCTTGATTGTGATAAAAAGAAAATTAAAATATTGCAAAAAGAATACTTCGAAATCAAAGATGAATTAAGTGAAATATCAGATATTGAAAAATATTATAATCAAAAAGTTTATATAAGTGAAACAGAAGATAATGGATCAAAATCTGAATAAGGAAATAGAAAGTAATAATGTAAATATATAAAAATATGAAGGAATAGAATGATATGAATTAAAAGCTACCTTTGATAACAATAAATTTAAAAAATTACAAAAATTATATTTAGATTTAAAAATAAGGAAATGGAAAGTTTTAGATAGAATTTGGAAAAGAAAAATGATAGTAATAAATTAATATCACAAAATAGAAAAAATCATAGATGTAAAAAAAATATATGGACAACATAAATTAAATCTTTTAACAAAAAATACGGTTGGAGAATTAACAAAGATTAATAAAAAATAAAGTAAAAAAAATTAAATATGTTTATTTAGCAGGAATACAAATAATGTTTAAATCATTATTTAGAGAAGGAATAGATTCACTCGTAATTATAACCTTATATGATAGAAGAATAATAAATTTAAAAGATAGTAATTTAGGAACAATAAAATGAAAGCTGGCATATTAAGAAAAAAATGTTTACATGCTACCCAAAATATTGTGTTCATTAAAAGATAGAAATTTTAATGAAGTTTTAGGACTACACATTAAGCTAAATAGAGACGATATTATGCAACCAAGTGATCAAATTATGATTGTAGAGTATAGAGTATTATACATATTTATCAATTCTAATTATGGAAATATTTATTCAAATAAACTATATATTGAAATACATAAAGAATGTAAGGATATTAGTAAAATAATATAATATAATAAATAAATAAGTTTAATTCCAGAAGAATATGAATTAAACACAACAAAAAATAAATCAGAAATAACAGAATTAAATGAATGAGAATATTATAATAATATAATATTTAAAGATAAAAAATTAATTAAAAAATAAAAAAGTCTTAGGATATCTAATAAAAATCAGTTAGAAGAATTTAATAATACAAAATAAGGAAAACTATATAGGAATACTGAAAATATGAAAATAGAATGAGAATATTTTAATGGAAGAGAATATATAAATGGATCAAATATATTAATAGACATAGGAGCTAGTGAATGTCATATAGTTTCAATCAGAAATAAATGGTTAATAACTCATAAAACTAAACCATACAAGTATATAAATTTTGATGGACATGTATATATTATAGATTTGGAAGTCAAGGTACCAATAAAAATAGGAGGAATAAATCTTTCAGTACCGTGTTATATAGATAAAAGTATGGATATAAACTCTCATATATTTTTAGGAATGAGTTTTCTAAATAGATTAGAAGATTATAGTATAAAAAGAGAATGATTATGTATAATTTATAATGGACAAACTATATTGTATAAAAAGAACTAAATGAATAATCATATAAGTTTTTCATTGACTGTATATATACAAATTACTATTATAGAAACAAATATAACAATTTGTTTCTTAATAGACACAGGAAGTGATATAACAATATTTAAAAGTTTTTTCATAAAATCGTGGAATAGTAATAGTAACATAAAATAACTGGAGTCACAGGAAAAAAATACCCGGATAATAAATAGTGCTAATAAAATTAGTATAATTGTTGGAAGTAAACAAGTTACAATAAATAAAAATATAAATATGATAAATTCGAGTGTGATATATTATTAGAACATGACTTTATACAATAATTTCAATATTATAAACAAAATAATTATGCTACAAATATCTTGTGGACACTTATTAAAAATTTCAAAAGAATTTAGACCTTATAGGGTTCAATCAGCCCAGCGTGGTGATAAATGGGAAAAAAATAGATTATATATAATGAAATAAAAATAAAAAAAATATTGTATAAAAAATCTTAAAAACAGGAATAGAAATGAGTATAGAAAAATTATTAAACAATTAGAAAAAGTTTATGGAGAAAATTCATTATTATTTTGAAAACCACATCATCCAAAAACCAAAATAGAATTAACAGAAAATGTTATAATAAGATTTGGACCAATGATGTATATTTTAGAAGATACACAATAATTTAAAAATCAGATAAAAGAATTATTAGAACATAAACTTATTAGACCTAGCAATGGATCTCATAATGGTTCAGCATTTATGGTTATGAAACATTCTGCACAAATTAGAGGAAAAATAAGAATAGTTATAAATTATAAAGAATTAAATAAATATACTAAATTTGATAGATATTTTTTTACCAAATAAAGAAGTTTTAATAAATCTTGTAAGGGGAAAACAATATTATTCTATATTTGATTGTAAATCAGGATTTTGGCAAGTAAAAATAGAAGAAAATAGTATACAATATACTGTATTTAGTACACCTCAAGAGAAATATAAATGGTTTGTAAAGTCATTTGGTTAAAAA